ATCTGGGGTCTTACAAGGTTGTTTTCAAATAAGCAGCCACCTATGTGAGGTGACACCTAAGTCCACGTGGAGGGAGCGCACCTAGCCGGTGTGATCCGAGGATTGCAAGTAATGATCAGGAACAGAGGAGGGAACCATATTAGAGCTTGACTTCTGAGCACCCAGTTTGCAGAAGGCTATGATGATAGTGAAGGTCCCAATTCCATTTGCAGAGTCCCCACAAGGATTAAGTATCCATTGAATTCCCTCGGACCATTGATGGGGTGGGAATGGTCTCCTCCTGGGACAGTGCCGTGGGAAGTGCATTCCCGCAGATGGAGTTAGGTTAAAATGTAACATGTTGGCATTTGTTTTCCCACTTGACCCGCTTCACTGTGTTGTGGTTTCTGTTATCTTCTTTCTGCTTTCTTTTGGGATGGTTTTTTTTTTCTGTGTTTTGTTGTCATTGGGGGTGGGGGTGTTGTATGATTATCTTCATATGAAATCAGGGATCGCTAAATCGAGAGCGAGTAGTGAGATTATAGTTACTCAGGGTAAAGCAGTTGTGGGGGGATGTTGGGAAGTCAGAGGGAAAGCTAATAATGGCACGGAATGAAGAGAATGTTCCAAATCTGGTAATGATTGCACAATTCTGAACGTAGTGAAGCTGTTGCCCTGTGCACGGGTTATCTGTCAGGGAAACTATTCGATGAAACATTCACAAATGCCTCACCCTCCCACCTTGCTGGCCAGGGTTTGGACCCGGCTCGAGTCAACGTCCCCGTCATTGGCGGCCACGCCGGGAAGACCATCATCCCCCTGATCTCCCAGGTAGGTGCAGGCGTTGCTGCGGGAGGCCTTGCCACCTGGAGCGCTTCTGATGTGAACTCAGCCCTGTATCCACCTTGTCTGTGAGGATCGTGGGCTGTGGGCATGGCAGGGGGCCACGTCTATGGGTGCGTGATGGTGGCCAGTAAGGCACTTGGGGCTCGGCTCCCATATACACCTTCAGGTCAGCCGCAGCAGCGGGCTTCAGGAGGAGGAGATGGGGACCACCACTCTCTGTCCCACAGACCAGCCTTTCCCGGGCCACCCGGGGCAGTGGAGCAAAGGAGAATCACAGCCCGGGAGCCACTGCATTTTCCCTGATGGGGAGCGATATTGACGGCAATTGCACAATGTGATTCCTGTAGTTGATGTCACTAAGTTACACACCAACGGCAGACATGCTACATATTTTTGTAACAAGGAGCAAAACGGCAACATTGTATCCCCCTTGATACAAAACCCAGCCAAAATGGAACCCTTGTGAGGAAATCTTGTGACAACCTCCAGAGCCCAGTTGCCTGGCGGCAGTGTGTCAAAGGAGCGGTCTGGCTTTGGGAATGGGTTAAGGAGAAGAGGGCAGGCCCTGTGGCCGCCTGGGCGCGGTACAGCAGGTAGAACTAAGGACCCGGTGGGCACCTGGCGCAGAGGCTGCGGTGACAGGGAGGTGGGTGGTATTTGAGGCCCGTCTGTAGTTTCTTGCTGTGTGTGCGGCAGGTAGGAGTTCCCTGTCTGTCGTTGCTGCTGCAGTGGGATTGTGGGAGGGGTTCAGTCTCATTTATATATGTGGCACATAGTCCGCATATCACAGAAGTCAGTCAT